CGTCTCCGTACAATAGAACTATCTTGACGTCTGTACTGAAGATTGTGACTTTGATGTTGACTGACAGTTGTTTTGAGTTCCATTATTTCTTTAGCTACAGGAATGCTGTCCTTGCTTTGCCAATCTTCGCCCCTACGTCTGCATCATATCCTCCACATTCATCGATGACGCTACCCGGATACGTGAAACTTTCCACCTCTTCTAGAGTTTCTCTATCAAGTGTGATTGGTTGGTGTTCTCCGTGTTGTATTTGAGGATCTAGCTTTTCCCTTGTGTATGTTGAGGCTTACTGATGCAGATGCTGATGTTACACTGTTCGTCTTGACCTGCATTTGTTGGTGTGTATGAGATAGAAGGGCCAGACCATCTGCAAAACCCAAGTCGTCTAGTTGCATCTAACCTGTCCATTTTATTCCGTGCTTCCCGTCAGATGTGAAAATCTTTATAACCCAGCCAACCATCACAAGGAAGAATAAGGAGGAGAGTAAGTAGCCTTGTTTGACTCAGGTCCTCACTTAAAATGCATCTGTCAGCTGTCCTCCATGCACCATTTTGCAGTGTAGTCCGTCGTATGAATTCCGAATGATGTTGATTTTCCCGGGCCAAATTAGTCTTATATATCCCTAATCGTATTAATTAAATATATGCAAACAATCCACTTACTATCAAATATTTTTTATAATTACTTGAATTAAAAACCAAATAACCATAATTTTTTTTATTGAATAATTCCATAGCTGCTCAATAGAACTAAGATATTTAGTACCAATGAATTTCATCAATTTCACAGCTGTCTACTTATAAGTAGTTTATAGGCAATATACTATTTTTCTAAATACATGATTAAAACATTGTGATGATTTCAGTGTATAAGAAAGGCTAATTCAAACAACATTTTTCACTGCAGATTTTGAGTTCAATGGCAAAGGAGTTGCCTTTTAACTCCATAGAGTCATGTGAATAGAATTTTTCCAGTAAAACTCAATATTTAGTGAAGATGGCATTTCGTTATTAACGAGATGATTTCGGGTGGTCTTTCCAAATCATATTCCAAAGATTTAGTCTTTCTTTCTACCATTGCTACTGCACTTTTTCGATCTCTTTCGTTATTTCCACTTTGTTGTACTAATGTGGTATGCCAACTTTGAATAACGAATAATTGAACTAAACTGTACATTGATTATGTCTGTCTGCGAAATTCGATATAGTATTGTCTTTACTTATAAAACAAAAGTAAATCAACTAAATCACAAGATTAAAACATGAATATACATACATCTCCCTTTAGTTGTACGAGGTAGATTCGAATTTTTGTCGTTTCTTAACTGAAAATTAGGAAGATTTCATGCAATGCAATTGTTTATCCTATCTCACATGAAAGTGGATATGATACACTGACTTCTATTTCATAAATAATTTAAAGTAATCAAAGATCAGTCACACAAGCTAAAATTTATTGCACTTTAATAGATCTATAATTATTAAATGGTTAAAAACTATTTTGTATTCAAATTGATATTTCTGTATATGTTGCACATTCTTCGTAATGCTGTTTTCTAACTGTTATTTATTTTTATTTATTTATTTATTTATTTGAACACACAAATATTGGTACAAGAGGACACCAAATATATATGCGCCACACAAAACAATGAGAATTTGAAGAGAAAAAAAGAAGGTAAGGAGCGTAAAAAAAGAGAACAATAACGAACAGATTAGCGTAAGGTAATGTAATAATAATAATAATAATAATAATAATAATAATAATAATAATAATAATAATAATAATAATAATAATAATAATAATAATAATAATGGGGGAAACAAAAAGGTACAATCAGGAGAAATCTTTCAGTTAAGGAAGATACAACCACCTTTATAAAAAAAGTAAAAGGTTACAGCAGGATCGACACTGGCTTCTATTCTGAGCCATATCTGATAACGTCTCTAGCCACTGTGTTACACCATCTCTACGACCCCAGCCAGGGAGTCGTGAAGGACCAACAGAAGCCAGCCCTTTTCAGCTTTCTTTCATACCACGACACCATGTCATATACTGACCACCTCTCCGCTTTTTCCAACCAGTGCCAGAGTCGGCAAATAATGCACGACGAGGAATTCTCTGAGACGACATTCGAAGAACATATCCAAGCCACCGAAGTCGGTGTTTCAAGATGGTGACACGAATTGCATTATCGTCTCTGTGCCCGAACACACGATGCCGAACCTCTGCATTACTAACATGGTGTTGACACTGAATGTCAGCAATCCTTCGGAGACAGCGATGATCGAACACAGAGAGTCGTCTAACATCCTCAGCTCGGGGAGGCCAGGTTTCACAAGCATAAAGCAAAACTGCTCTCACCGACGTGTTGTAGATCCGAACTTTTACAGCCAGACTAACATCACGAAGGCGCCAAAGATGGCCCAGATTGGCATAAGCCGCTCTGGCTTTCACTATACGTGCATTGATCTCATCACTCACACCACCACCAGCACTCATGCAGCTACCCAGATACACGAACTTCTCGACTACTTCTATCTGCTCACCATCCAGAGTGAGTACAGGATTAGAATCCTGTCAATCTTGTAGAAGTACTTCGCACTTCGAAGGTGCAAAGCACATACCATACCTACGGACACTGATTGCCAACTGATTAAATGCGGATTGTATGGCTTGGGCATTATCACACAGTAAGACAATATCATCCGCATACTCAAGGTCGAGAAGTTTTTCTCCAGGCAAAAGATCCACATCACCATTACTTACATCCATCAGAGCTGTTTTCAGAATGTCATCGATGGCAAAGTTGAACAGGAATGGTGAGATTGGGCAACCCTGTCTAACCCCACTACTCGAATGGAATAATGGAGAAAGGTGGTTGTATGCCCTCACTCTGCCTGAGGTGTTTGTGTATAATGCTTTCAGGATGTCAATAAACTTATCAGGCACACCCTTCTTCAATAGACAATCCCGGAGAACAGTTATGTCCAACGAATCGAAGGCAACCCTGATGTCAAGAAACACCACGATTGTTGGCCTTTGATAAGTATGACGGTGTTCTAACATTTGGCGGAGGGTGAAGATATGATCAATACATCCTCGACCGGAACGAAACCCAGCCTGCTCCTCGCGAGTCGATCCCTCTCGGGTTTTGAACAACCTACGAAGTATAACGGAAGCCAATAGCTTGGACGCAATCAGAAGTAGACTTATCCCTCGATAGTTGTTACAGGAACGACGTGGACACTTTTTAAAGATTGGGATAACTATCGACTCATTCCATGACGTTGGTACACTCTCTAGTTCCCAGACCTTTGTAAACAACGTCATCAGTCCCTTAGTCAGAAATTCACCACCATCTTTAAAAAGAGCCGGAGGTAAGTCGTCTGGGCCCGGTGATTTGTAACGTTTCAAGAGTTGGAGTTCTTTGCGGACTTCCGCCTTGTTTGGTGGATCAATCGTCACCGGCCATGGAGGGCAGGATAGTCTGACCGATGTTAGGACAGTTCGGACAGTTTCTAACTGTCCGTTGTATAATATCTTACTTGATATTCCAGTATCTTGAGATCTAATTTGAAATCTTTATTCGTGGTTCCCTCATTTTCCTTTACTAATCAATTTAGGTAAGCCTGGTATGCTTCTTTAGATTAGTTATTTACTAACCCTATGAAAAATTTAATTTATTATCTATTATCTGTATGAATAACTTCCCTTAGTTGTGAACAGTCAGTAAATTAGCAACATAGGACTTAGCAGAGGTATATATACTTAATAAAACCTGAATCAGTAAAATCACATAGAAGACCAACAAGATGAGGAGCATAGGGTGGGAAACAATATAGAAAGTAGTAGAAATCTAAACATGAAAAATGCTACTGAACAGTCCATAATAATATATGTACATCCTGAGCAGTTTTTCGATACTGCCTCTGGTCGCAAATTTTTAGTATATTTGGTAATATGGTTAGCAGTGGGATCCAGACTGTGTATTTCGCCTTATTTGAGACTCGTCTGCATTCACCTTCATCTTAATGATGATGTCTACACTGAAACCTGAACCCAAGACCTTTCGATTCAAACTTCGACGAGTTATCTATTAAGCTACTGATTCCATACAACAACTAAGATTCTTATTCTTGACTATCAATAAAGAGATATCACATATCTTTACTAATACCTTCACATCTGTTGAACACGTTAGTAGTTGTCTGAAATCAACAGCTTTGTAGACAACACGCTAGAATTTGAAGCGCAAAGTAATGTGTTAGAATCTCAGTGCGAACATGAACACTGAGACGCAGGCATATCTATCTGACGAGTCTCGAATATGAAAAAACGACTAATTTAGATCGCACTGCTACCCATACACTAAAGATACTAAAAACATAAGAAATGAAGTTGAAAAACATAGATCAGAGAATTAAATGTTAAGAATGACACCAAATCCAACATTTATAACAAGATAAATAGTGAAAAGGATTGTGATGAGAAAATATGTATTTCTAGAAACATTTAATACAACTGTTTCAGCTAACAAGCAAATTTACCTAATAAATCAGAAAAATATGTTGTTTGATTACAATGACTGTAATCGGCCTACTTAAAATGTCGAAAGAAAAAAACTGTACAAAAGCATTTAATTGCCCAGATCTTATCAGAGGCAATATAAAAGAATAGATAACTTGACGAATGTGTTGAGTGATAAATACATGTTTATTCATAGACGTTTGAGACATACACAAAACGTAATTTTTCGTGCATATATACCGGTTATTCATGTCAATACTATAGAATTACGGCATTAATTAATGATGAATGAAACAGATTAACTTGTAATAACTTCAGCAGACAAAAGAAATTTTACATGAAAATGATATAATTTTTCCAATAGTTCGCAAACTTGGTCGGCTACCATATTTACAATTAGTGAAAACTATTGCTTATATATAATGGTAATAAAGAAAATTCGAGCCTTACTGTTATAAGCAATACCTACCAAGTGCAAATCGTTCCTTGCCTATTGAGTACATTCCACAAACAACTAAAATGGTAGGATCTTTTATCAGATAATCACGTGTAACTTCCAATGCTCCATGAATAACATCCACTTGAGCAGGAAAATCATACTGAGATGAACAATATCTAAAAATTGGTACATCATTCATAAAATGAATACATGAAAATTTTCTATCTCGTCAAAAGTGCCATCTGGACACGGGAAACAAGAAACAATGTAAAAATAGTATTAACATAAGATTAATTTTAAATCAATTGATCATTTTTTAGGTAGAGACAACAAATAATGTTGATTGGCAAATATATCAATATTTTTAAATGTAACTTATCCTACAAACTTATTCAACAAAAAATGAATTACAGTCAGAATGAATTTAAAAAAGAAACATTTTAAAAGCATCCTCTAAGTATCCTCGAGTTTTCTACACCTAATAAATCTTAAGCTCATTAATACTCTATTTAATGCTATCGTAATTCAGTGAGAGAAATACCATATGAAAATTGAGAAAATACTGAATTATTTTCCAGAAAACATTGTCTGTACGCTGTTCATAATTTCGGTCATAACACCATATATTGTGGCTCTTTACCCAGAAATATGATTATCCAACGATCAATTTAGGCTAGTAGAAATAGATAAATTTAAAAAAACTGACTGCAACCATAACGGTTCCAGTCATTTCTTTCATGTCTTTAACACATTATGTTTATGTGAATAATTTATAACAAAATCTTTCATCTAAAGTTAGATTACATACACCACTATATCTTAATACAGTGAGAATTATTCTAATAGTAATCGTCATACATACGACAATGCTCAAGTAGTGTATTTAAAATATGAATACATAATTTAAGATTTTGGTACGTTCATGGACTAGATTAATGTTTCGCAATTCTAGCTTCAATATAGTGAACGAGACCAATTTCTCTTTCCTGTCCCGCTAATTGAGTGAGAGGTTTAGCTTCTTCATAAAAGCTTTATTGGTGATGACCTTGATAGAATTTTTTAAAACATACTAGTTAATCAGTTATACATAAGTTGCAATGACTAATATTTATGAACTCAGTAAATATCACTAAACAAAAATAAGTAAAAATGCATTGAATGTCATCAAGTAGCGCAGCGAAAATGTGTTGACATTACATTGGTCTTAAATTAATATTGATTTCCTTCTTCAAAAGATTTACTTCCATATCCCTCACAGATTTTTGCTTATTTCAGAATGAAAAATGTACTAATAGTACAAATATATACACTAGAAAAATATATATAAAGAAAACAGGACTCCTACGTTGTATCCAAAAATATTGAATGTATCCTTGGTAACTTTTTAGAAGAACTGTTGTCTGATAAATAATTCGTTAATATACTTGGATGAGTTAACATTGATGGTGTATAACGAAAGTCACCAGTATGCAGATACGTTCTCTGTTTTGATGGCACATAGAAAAGGAACATTAAAGAGCCAGGACAACTGTAAGATAAATTAGTGGGAAAAAATACAATAAAATAGTAGCATAGGCATGCATCAATAAACCTTATTATACATGACTTCAATTTATAATAAGAATCTCAGGGAAATCGGTATGAACGAATGTAAAATGGATTGAAAATTGGGAGAGAAAATTGCTTCATGATGTTATTTAAACTTCTATTTATCCAGCAGCTTCTACTGGTTCTTTATTTCAAAAGCATTTATTCTCATAAACTTAAAATGGAATATATTTTTAACTATGTAAAGGTTTACAAGCGCAGATTGTGAATTTCACTTTTGTCGATATTCAGTGATCAGTTAAAAAACATATGAAGTGTGGTAGAATTATAGAAAATCTAATTTGAACTTACGGGAAGAATTCTTAGAACGCAAAATAAAACAATTAAGATGCGTTGATAAAATGAATACAGTGAGTTGCCAGTGATGTAAACTATATATACCGCACTGCTAACGATACAGATGTGAAGAACTATAATTAGTAACTAGTTGGAAAAAGACTTCAGCCTAGTTGGATTATAAGACTAAGCTAATCCATGAAGTTATTGGCTACTGGTTAGAGAAATTTAGCAAATTGTACATTTCTTTGTTACATTGAAAGCAAAACCTTACAGCCGAGAACCAAATAAGATTTTCTGAAGTCCGGTACAACAAAGAAAACTATATGATTCAGCTTTGAATAGCACTTATAATATCATTCCGATCCCTTCTCTCTACATCATGTCAAGCTCCTCTTGCTATATTAATGCGAGGTGTGGTATACCTCTTAGGAAGGTTCTCAAAAGTATATATATACACTGTCAACTTGTCCATCTTTTTTACTGCCACATCCGTTTTAGCTGACTTTTAAGCGAATAATGGACTACGGAAGGCTTTGATACTTGGTTTTATGTCCACAAATATACTGACGAAAATGTCGACTGTTATATATTTTTGCAGAGAAAGAAAACCCAAAACCTAGATCCATGAGCTACAAACGCTGGCATAGTTCAGAGTTACACTCTGAAACGTTATGTTTTCAGTGCCAACCTATTTTCCAACCATTTGTGTGAAATAATTAAATGAGTCCCCAAGATTTTGAAGGTTGTCAATGGAGTATAAAAAAGTAATTAAACCCGAATTCATCTATTCAGAACGATTACGAAAGTCTTATCCACTCAATGTTTTAAAGAACTGACTTAGTAATAATACAGCACTTTCACTAGCAAAGACTTAACTGACCATTCTGCCTGAATTTCGCTAGCCAAAAACAATCGTCAAGCTATAAATAGCTACAAATTTTTGCAGAACCAAAACATATTTAAAAACAGAAATTAAGGACAGATCAATATTTCACTATAGTCTTACTGATTAGCGTCTAAAGCTGTTACTTCTACATCGCCAATCTTTGTACTCTTCTCTATCTCAAGCACATTAATAACCAGCCCCAAACCATAAGCATCTCTCAAAAGATTCTTTGTCACCTAAGACCATAAATAAAAGGGAATGAAAATATACCTCGCTGCAATAGATATCTCCTTTGAAATTCTTGTGGATGCCTCTGAAATGATCAAAATGGAAATGGGAGAGGAAGTAACAGGTACACCCAGGAATCTCAGCATAACAGAAAGCATCAACAGTAATTGATGTATCTATCATTACTATAAACTTAAATCATTTGACAAACCTGGAATCCATTTATAAAAAGGGCACTTTCTAGGAGTTTTTTTGAGTGGGTTGTTTTTAGATATTGGGAGAGATGTAGATATAGTACATGGGTTCAAGGTTTTAGCAGGAGCTTTGTATTTTTCATCTCGGACAAAATAAGACAAAATAGACTCCCCGACATAACCCTTTTTTCGTTTTTTGCCTGTCTTATTCATTGGAAGTGAAATTAAATTCAAGAGCAAATAAATTTTAGATCATTAGGACATTACACTTAGAACATTCTGCCATACATAATTAAGGGATTTCTGGTCACTTCAAATATGTATTGACGAGATTGAAGCCTCTGATAAAATTGATTCCAGGTCTATAAGCAACAGTTCCGGTGCTGAAAAAAATCGAAAGATATACTTGAACAGGATAGTTACCCTTTTGGTACCCTATTGTGCCACAAATTTTGTTATAAATAAATAAGAAGTCATATTCTTATATGAAGAGTTAAGACGGTGAGTTACAAACAATCTAATAGCACGAGGGAATTTAGTCGGATGGCTAAGCGTCTTATCAAATTTGGTGGGTTGAATGTTAGAACCTAAGCAAATGTAAAACCTGCCTAGCTTTATCAGTTTACGTCACCTATGGAGCCGACTAGATGTTTGTTTAGCTATAAGAGGTCAAGTATATTCCGAAATAGTTTGATCTTTGACCTTTGATAGCAAAGAACGTGGATAAGCTAGGAGGAAATGATTGCTTTTCTTCCATGTTATTATTTATTTATTTATTTTCAACACATAGGCATTTGTACAAGGAGACAACAAATACATATGCGCCACACGAATCTCAATTGATTTGTGTGAGGGCTGTGATACTGCTCGGGTGCCCAAACCGAAGCAGGTGGTTTTCTTAGGGGGCCACACCCCGAGCCTTCGACCTGAACGTCTGACCCACAAGGCAGTGGAGCATCGTAAGGAGATGCAGTCCCATGGTAGCCGGTGACCAACGATTAGCTCATACACCATTTGTTCCTTCAGGATACTGGAGCCCATGTGCACCATTGGTTTGAGATGCGGTAAAGCGCCGGAAATTCGCTTTTCGTCCTCTCATTTTCGTAAACAACACCCCCTCCACGAAAAGGCAGTGAGTAGGACTTCCCTGGCAGGGGCTGTATACGCGTGGCCATGTGAGAGCATTTCGAGAGGGAGAGCGGACTCTCCCCACTCTCGACCGTACCAGGGCATTTGGGTTAGACTCTCGCAGCCAGAACCAAAATGCCTGTGGTTCGATTCCCGAGGGGGTCACTGGTGTGTATTTCTTCCATGTACTGAGACTACAGTGAACAATGATAAGGCATACATTAATAGTTGCGATTGATTGGCCAGTATGGAGGTGGCATAACCTGACTCATCCAAAAATCTTCAAATTACTTAAGTGCGATCACCTCTGGAAACATTACTGTAAACACCCCAGTCGTACCATCAATATAGAATCTGTAGAACATAATAATCACCAAGAAAATAGTCTTGTTAACTAGTCATGTTTTGATTAAATATATCCTTAATTGACATTATTCCTGAAAAGCATCACTTTTGGATCGCTTACCAAGTATTTTAAGATATACCTACACCTAGTTCAGCGTCCAAGTGACTGAAAGGATGTCTTAATAACCCCCATTTGTGCAAAGGCAAATAGACAGCTTGCATCCAGTTGCTGACCTGTAAGTTTAACCTTAGTAGTTGTCAAACTCCCAGTCGTAAAGAGCAGGCTGCTTTATTACGTAGAATCACAAAATCTGCTAATACTGGATAAACACTACCTTCGCACTGACCATTCCTAATTGGCGAACCACCAAACTGAAACTACATCAATTAGGTTCCGTAAAGTGCATCATGATTGACTGGTGCAAATACTTACTAACCTTGAGATAAAGAGTACGATACAAATCTGCACAAGGAAGTTTTCATAAGATCAAGGATAGAGAGCAAGAGTAGACGGGACACTATGGTTTTGAACCTTTTTTAACTCCAAATGGAGTATAACTTATCTAATTTCGTATGAAATACTTCAGGTAATCAAGGTGCATAACGGTGGTTTAAAAAGTTAAATACAAAGCGTATTGCAATACGCTTCGTATTTAACTTTTAAAACCACCGTTATATTCTTCCATGGAAGAATATATTTCAAGCTTTCGCACGCGGGCTGCAAAATAGTAATAATCCGTGAGTAAAAAGATTAACTGGTGTCAACTTAGTCCAATTAAATGTGATTCAGACTACATTTAGACCAATTTTACAAATTATTTGAATAATATTATTCAAATTTCTTTATGTTACACATACGTGTAACATACAGAAGATCAGCTGGATTATAAATTAGGATTGACAACAGACATTAGAGCATAAGCAAACAGAAATGCACATAGAAAACCAAACATCTATGTTGCAATGTCATTATGGTATAATTCTGGGTTTTCTGGAATTCTCGTTGTTTATGATAAGCGAAGATTGTTTAAAGGATAGTACATGATGACACTAAATGTTTCAAGCTTGAAACTGATATGAACTGACTGATTAGACGGTAAGGGTAAACTAATAAGATGAGACGATACAGAAGAAAAGTAACAGACCTCTGAACAATGCTTTCTCATCCACGACCTTGAACCGGAAAGAGCGGGCGTTCCGTATTTGCAGTGCTAGAGGTCGATTGTGTGCATGTAGGCTAGCGTGGTTCTCAAGTGTTCGTATGTTTACGTGGTTTGTCTGAAAACCACCAGTCACTGAATAAACTATTGTCAAGGTAAATAAATCCTCGAAATTATTAGTTCTTTTAGTCTTCGACATTGATATTGACCTCATTGGTTTTACTGGACTCATCCTGGCTGGAGGCACTTGGTCACACATCCGCAACAGATCACGAATGGAGATGTCGTGATACGCATCCCTTGAAACTATGGACCAGCTTACATCAAATGCTTCTCTACATATCGATATCTTTCCAAATATATCATTTTTGGCTTCTGATTTGACTGGGTTGGTATACTTTTACTGTAAAAGTGTTACACTTAAAGGCGTTGTAAAACTTCAGATACTCGTAGCATCGTTACTATGCGCTTTGTCAGCTTTTGGTGTAAACCCCATGTTGGTTGCTACTGTGTAACTAAAAAAAATCGGTTGAATAATTTCGTTGAATAATCTATCACAGATGTGTGAATAAGTTTACTGAAAATAAGCACATGTTTATGAAAGCAAGTTACTGATAGTAGTTCATACACTTATATTTGGTTATGGAAATGAAGAAACGTACATGCAATAAACGTTAAATATATTTCTTCCCCACTTATACACTGCTCTTCAGTATGTCCTCTTGTTTAAAGCAATTATCGACTTCGCTTATTGGTCAAACGTTTTTGGCTGGCTAGCTAAACGTAAAGTTAATATAGGCCATCGGTTTTGAATCACGATATCTGTAATGATGGTCTATCACAAACTTTCTTTTATTTATGTCAGTAGGTGTACATTCACTTATGTGTTGGGGTAGTGAGTTCCACTCATTGTTGGTTTGATGGGAAAGCCAATATACAGTTGACAAGCAATTCATTATGGCTTTGCGAACTTAAAAGTTTTAAAGGAATTGAATCGAGAGTGCTATAGATAGTACTATAGATAGTTCAATGCTACTCATGTTTTATGTGTATGTAACTTGGCTAAAATTATGCAACATCATGTACTTTTAAACACGTATCAGCTACTGAAAAAGTCTCGACAGTTCACATAATTTCTGCAGATCATTCGGAAGCTCTTAATAAGAATATCACGCATATCTGCTTCTAAAACGTTTATTCTGGCTTTAGCCAAGAAATTGCCGTCGAAAACAATGTGTAAAGCCAGACTGATGTGATGGAAAGAAAAGTCAATATTCGATTGATTTACTCATTATGAGTTTTATTCAACATTACTTCTGTTTTGATTTAATGCAATTACTACTCAATGTAGTATTTCTTTTCTTTTCTCGTATGATATTTTATTCTGTATAATATACGATATTCTTGTATTAAGTGACATGAACTATGCTTTATATGTGATTTGTGATAACTGAGTATTTTTCATGTATGTGATTTCATTTTATTATTAATCAGAATGGTTGTATAATCAGTATATAAATGAGTGTATTTTCGACTAAGGTCGTCGTCGTCATCATAGTGTTTTGGGGCTAATAAAACTTCGCTTATATCAGTCTTGTGTTCTTACTTTCGCGTCGTGGGAATTTTGGAGGTCCCATCGTTCCGAGCATAAGTGGTCAGCGATTCCGACATAACAATCAGCGACGACCAGATACAAAAGTAGCATTCGATTCACAAGTCATAACACAGACCGAGAACTGTGTGATCATCTTTTTTTATCGGTTTCATCTATTCGTCAGTCCTTTGAGAAGAGAGTTTCGCCGACATGCTGCAATAAGGGAGACAAATTTTTAATTGCGTACCCTAGTTTCACAACACATTCTATTTTCCGTGTGAGGATTTAATTTTCTACAGAAAGATCTATTACAATGATCGAGATCACTGACAAACTGCGCGTTCAGGTTACTTATCTCGGTTGCAAACAGCAAGTTCAGTCGCGACTGAAAATGTACGTAATAAATGTTTTTGAAGTTTGACAACGCTTTAACTAGTAACACCTAATATTAATCCTACCTACCAAGTGAAATCAAAGGACAGAAGTAGGAGGTTCGAAGATATATTTGACAGGTTATCAATATGTCGAGGATCGTTTGATCCAGAATGGCTAGCGATTGCAGGGGATGTTGAGCGCGGCGTTCCCACTCGTGATCAGGTGTGAATGCGTGACCGAGCGCCCTCGGCTAGATGAGTCTATCAAAACTAATGTGGTCAGCATCCAATGTCGAATACTTACAGGACTATTTATTTTTGGTATTTATTTACCGCTACAATGTCTATTGCCACTGTCTGTTATTGTTAACTAAATAGTGATTCATAAAGGCTTTTCTTCACCACATCATTTCTGTATAAGCTAACCAGCTTCGATTGGATTTGCTAATGTATTCAACAGAAAACTTCATGTCAATATAGCGGAAATTGTGAAACTTTTCAAGTGCAAGCACGCACAGACCATATTTTAGTTCGAAATTTGGTCATTTTAGTAATCGTTGGAAGAAATCAACATAAAAGGCTCATGATAAATGATATTTGGTGCTTGTTAAA